GGAGTGGGGCACACCCACCAAGGTTTTACTAAGTTCTCCAAGTGATTTTGATATATAATAAAATCTGAGAACCTCTGCTCCAAGTGATCCATCCTGAAGTGGGGACATATGAAATGTATATGGATTTCATGGAAAAGAATACATAATAGAAAGAGACAAAATTAACTATGTACTCATGAATACATCTCCTGGAGCTAGACTCTCTCACTGTTCTCACAAATCTGGAAGTTAAAGTGCCTTACTTCCCAGCTATGCCAGTGGACATTCTCAAGCTGTCCACTTAAGCACAGTACAACTGGTGAATAATGAAAATGCCTCCTGAAAAGCACAGGTTTTAAATAAAATATAAAGTCCATAGCCAGAGCCACAGCTAAGAAAGCTTGTCAGTGGGAAGTCAAAAATGGACTGGAATTTTCAAGAAAATAGCAGCAGTTATTTAAGGATTCACAGAACACTTTGTTTACTGCTACTTATAAAGGTAGCAATAACCACATGGAGTTGTTTCCTCAGCACAGACAGGGATTTCTGAAGACAATAGAGGAGATGGGGAGATGAATCTCACAGGTGTTTAAAAACAAAACTGATTCAACTCTCAGGTTAATAAACATTTTTATTACTCAAGGGGAATGGGGTGGTAATTAACTCTCATTAAGTCTCCCAGCTTTCACATACTCTTATCAGATCAAATACTTACTAAGCACTTACTATGTACCAGCAATTATTAACACTACCTCCAAATATTAAGGTATTATCTTGATTCTTTTTTAAAAAAAACGGTGATTCTAGGGGGTCCCTGGATAGCTCAGTCGGTTGGGCATCTGACTTCAGCTCAGGTCAAAATCTCACAGTTCATGGGTTTGAGCCCCAGGTGAGGCTCTGTGCTGACAGCTCAGAGCCTGGAGCCTGCTTCAAATTCTGTGTCTCGCTCTCTCTCTGCCCCTCTCCCACTCATGCTCTGTCCCTCTCTCTCTCTCTCAAAAATAAACATTAAATAATTTTTTTTAAATAAAAAGTGATTCTAACTTTGTGTATAATTCTTTTTTTTAATTTTTTTTAACCTGTATTTATTTTTGAGAGAGAGAGAGAGAGAGAGAGAGAGAGAGAGAGAGAGAGAGAGCATGAAAAGGAGAGGGAGGCACAGAATCCAAAGCAGGCTCCAGGCTCTGAAGTGCCAGCACAGAGCCTGACGCGGGGCTTGAACTCACAAATTGCGAGATCATGACCTGAGCCAAAGTCGGTCCCTTAACTGACTGAGCCACCTGGTTGCCCCACTTTGTGTATAATTCTAAGGTCAATGTAATGATTGCAACTGCTTCTATTTGCCCAAGGAAACTACATGTTTGAAAAAAAAAAAAAAAGTTCAAACTTCCCTAGGTAGTAGTCATTTTAAAAGACTGAAACCCATTCAAATTATTTTCTAATAACCTCTAAATTTAGGTAGGAGACAACATTAAGTGTTCAATTCTTTTTATTTATAACTAAGTAGTTCAAATTTACCATACAGCTGGGTTTATTCTTCCTATGCTCAATATACACATTGTAATATATGGGAATACCCCTGGGTGTTCAATATGTGGGATACATTTATGCCTATTCTATAGCACTTGGAGTATAATTCTACTATTTTTAACGCTGAGTTTTAGAGCTGTTTTATCTTTCCTTCTGAGTTGTACTATTAGCCAAATTTATAATTTACTCATGCCAAATCCATAGTCAGAAATTATAAAATTGTTTCAATGAGGGGCGCCTGGGTGGCGCAGTCGGTTAAGCATCCGACTTCAGCCAGGTCACGATCTCGCGGTCCGTGAGTTCGAGCCCCGCGTCGGGCTCTGGGCTGATGGCTCAGAGCCTGGAGCCTGTTTCCGGTTCTGTGTCTCCCTCTCTCTCTGCCCCTCCCCCGTTCATGCTCTGTCTCTCTCTGTCCCAAAAATAAATAAACGTTGAAAAAAAAAAAAAATTAAAAAAAAAAAATAAAAAAAAATAAAATTGTTTCAATGAGAAAATACAGTTAACTTCACAACTGACCTTAGTCTGCTTTGTGTCATTATTTCTAAGAACACCATAGGAGAAAGCCCCAACTAATCACTTAAGTTTCAGTTATTCAGACAAACAGGTACAAAAGAGAAGACAATAAAGGGCAGAAAGGCCAGACAGATGTATGAAGAAAGTAGTTAATGAGGCCAGGCCATATTTAGTGAGTAACTTGGTTATTTCTTTATTATTTTCCCCCTTCCTTTTTCTAATCCTTCCTATCCTTTCGTTGGTCCACCCCCCCCGCCCCATTTCTTTGTTTTCCCTTTTACCTAGGGGATGTCATATTTACAAGGGCACTTAGATACCATCTACCACAATCCCCTCAATCTACAAATGGGGAAAACTAAGACTCAGATAAGGCAAAGAACTTGACCAAAGTCTGTCCAACCCTCAAAATCCATTTTCTACTATATCCCCTGTCTCTTTAGAAAAACGCGTTGCAAAAACATTCTAGTACACTGTTCTTAAACCTTATTCTGCTAGGTAAGGAATGATGCTACGTAACACAACATACACTAGTATTTAAGGCAGTATACACAAAACCACATATTTTCCCTACACTCTAATTATAATGCTAATCTTTTAATTTTTTTTTTTTTTAACGTTTATTTGTTTTTGAGACAGAGAGAGACAGATCATGAACAGGGGAGGGGCAGAGAGAGAGGGAGACACAGAATCGGAAGCAGGCCCCAGGCTCTGAGCCATCAGCACAGAGCCCGACGCGGGGCTCGAACTCACAGACCGCGAGATCGTGACCTGAGCTGAAGTCGGACGCTTAACCGACTGAGCCACCCAGGCGCCCCTATAATGCTAATCTTTTAAAAATTACTTTCTCATAAACCAATTCATTGCTAGATTGGAGGGAAAAAGACAAATTCAATACTTACAATTTGAAATTACTATTAAGTCACATTAACATAAGTTAATATTTATTTACTGTTTGTATGTACCACATATGTCCCACATACATACATACATACATACATATGTACATAACTTCAGGTTGGAGGCCCCTCTCCATCCCACCTTCTGACCCTTTCACAACTTTTTAATTTAAATGTATGAAACCTACATTTCATTTAAATGTAACGTCAGAACTCTCAAATCTTCTTGTCATTTTCCTGAAGTTCTTGGGGGTACCACACAGCCTACAAAAGCAGATGGTCCTATTTACATCTGTATGTATGTAAATTACATTATCACAATTCCCTTTAATGTCTCAGGACACAACTTAATTTCTGGACTATTCTAACTTGTGAAATTAAAACTTAAATCATATAACCACAGCATTCCTTTCCCCACAGGAGAAGTTACTACATTCTCCAAAGTTTTAGGAGTACATATACCACTGTGTTAAGTAGTTGTTCACAAATCCCTTTCCTTTATCATATTGTGTGTTTCTGGACAGCAAGAATCCCAGAACCTTCTAGAATGCATGAATGTATTAGAAAGTCAAAAAAAATGCTTGATAAAAGATACTGAAGAATGAATCCTCGTCGAGATGGGAAAGTCCAAAGCAATGCCTACATAGTAATTCAGACTCTTCATTATAACCTAATAGAATAAAGGAAGCAAAGTTATCCACACTGACACTTCTGCTTCTTGATCACTAGGGAATTCACTTCCATGACTACACCCACCATTTCTTGTGAAGCACAAGAAACTAGATAGAAAGGGATCTGTCCTAGACCATAATGTACCAAAAGAATGTTTAGTCTCCCCCAGTTGTGCATCCTCTATCATGGAAATTGTGACAATGATCAAATAGAATAAAAGCTGATTTTCTCCACCAAAAGTAAGATATTCAAGGACCCCTAAAAATCTCTTCCAAGTTTTCTTTTCCAACCTGTTTTGTTCTATATTCTCTTCCCTGAAATATTGAGCAAGATTAGAAAGATAAAAGGACTAATGGAAGGGTCTTAAAAGCCTAATACCTTAGATGTAAGTGTGAATCAATAATGTGAAAGTAAAAGTTACCATATTTCTATACTAAAACTCTAAAGTTCCAACTAAAAATTTAATTTCTTTCATTAGTATGTAAACGGGCTAAACTTTCTTTAAAACACCTTTTGAAAACGTTGGATCAGTCACAACCTGGAATCAGAGAGTACAACAAATGAAAAAATTCCTTCTAAAGTATAAAAGGATTTAGAAAACATATGCCCGCACAAGAAATGGGAATAAATTTAAGGAACCTAAGATTACTGGCACACCAGAGATGCCTTGAGGTATATGCCCAGCTTTTCGAGGTTACCAGAAAATAAACACAACCTCTTGAGACCAAAAAATAAACAAACAAAAGCAATAAAAAACTATTACATATTTTCTCAATATATTCTTATTTCAATACCTTATAAAAACTGCCCTGATTTGAATATTTTTCATAGTTAAAATTACTCTGAAAAATTACACAAATGTCAAAAGGTATTAAGGGCTTTCCAAGTAAATACAGTTATGCTATGGTAAAGTTCTTAGAGTCAAAGACTCAACTGATTAATAACAGCCCTTATACATTTTCAGACTTAAATAACACCATCAAATACTCTGAGGCACAGAATTCCAGGTTTTGCTAAGTACTTTTTTGGCAATTCAAGAAATACAAAGCTTCACCATAAGGAAAATTTTGATCCTCCTGTAGGCACTTCTCCCTAATTTTCACAGCACAATATCAATAAATATTGTCATCATCAAAACTGCCATTAATGCATCTGATACTGTGTGTGTGTACATGTGTACTTAGGAAAAGTATAAAAGGATGTAGGCTGTAATAGTGGTTACCTTTAGAAGATTAAGCATGATTTTTATTTGTTTTCAACAGTTTTCTGACGTATCTAGTTTTCAATATATATATAATTAGAAATGATTACCTATTTCCATTAAGATATATGACATAAATTATCAGCATGTAAATAAACCAGCTTTATGAAGCCCGTCAATACAGACTCACAGTAGCAAAGCACACTCACCTGCTTCATTACACAAAGCTTTCAAGTCTGCTCCAACGTACCCATGAGCACTATTTGCCAGCTGTAGCAGCTCAGCTTCAGTGAGCAAATGGGGTACAGTTCGAAGAAGTTTCTGGAGGATATCTAGCCGATCCTCAGCATTAGGAACTCCAATCTCAATCTCTTTATCAAATCGTCCAGGTCTTCGAAGTGCAGCATCTAAGGCATGAGGGCGATTTGTGGCCCCAAGGACCAACACTTGTCCTTCACTTCCTTCCTAACAAAATGAGAATAAATATCATTACTTTTAAAAGTAATAAACATATTGGCACTGGCTCTGTAGATCAGATGAATCTAACTGTCCAGGCTGCTAAGTCCTACCCGTTATACTTTTATTACTCATCCCATATCTTCCTAAGTTCAGCCTAAATACTCCCTCACCTAGAAAGTTTTCCAATAATTACCTTTCCAACTATAGTAAGTGATGTCTCTCCCATTTTTAGCATCTAAACTTCACCATCTTCATGAATGGAGGGGCAGGGAAAGAGGGAAACAGAATCCAAAGCAGGCTCCAGACTCTGAGCTGCCAGCACAGAGCCCAACACAGGGCTCAAACCTATGAACCATGAGATCATAACTGACCCGATGTCAGATGTTTAACCAACTGAGCCACCCAGGTGCCCCAGGAATGAAATTTAAAACAACAAATTATAAAAAACTAACATAATGATCAGCCACCTGTGAGGTTATCCAACACTCTATTCTGATGATACAGTGTAATACAAGTTTAACTGAAACGTGATTGAAAGTAAGAAAACTCAACCTGTTCAATTGTACTGGATGTGCCAACAGAAAATGCATGGATTACAATAAAATCTATGAATTACAAATCTAGAAGATAAATACAGGCCCTTAAGCATTTTCACACTAAAACATCAGTGTCAGATGCTTCCAGTCCTGCCCATAGACAAGAACACCAGTTCAGAGTAGACTTACCCTAGCAGCAGAGAAAGCAGAATGACATAGTAATTAAGACCCTCCAACACAAAGCCTTCCATCCGATTTTATACTTCCCAAAAACTCTTCTAATTATAATACAGCTCTCCATACATATTTGTCTTCAAGATGAAAAGATTCAACCATAAACAAAGATATCTGGTTGGCTTAATGATGATATTCTTATTAGAAATAGACAAAGAATTTTTCTTCATTCCTGCTTCTACATCTATGGATCTTCCTTTCACAAGCAGCACAGTCTTTATTAATTTGCAAGTATATGCCCTATCAGAGAATCTATAGATTCTATAGAATCTATCATGGGTAGCTTCTTTTTAAACCCTGCACAAACAGGGGCACCTGGGTGGCTCAGTTGGTTAAGCGTCTCTTGGTTTCGGTTCAGAACATGATCTCACAATCCGTGAGTTCAAGCCCCATGTCCAGCTCCACACTGAAAGCACAGAGCCCGCTTGGGGTTTTTCTCTCCCTCTCTCTGACCTCCCCAGCTTGCGCTCTCTCCCTCTCTCTCTCTCTTGCGCTCTCTCTCTCTTCAAAAATAAATAAACATAAAAAAAATTTTTTAATTAAAAAAATTTAAATGTTGCACATATTTTTCCATTATTCTTTATTTCCTTTCTACTGTCAAATTTAAAGCCCCAAAAGAATCAATTTGTACATGAGTATTCAAGACTTAATCATGAGATTTCTTAGTAAAATCCTCTAAAATATATCTAAATCTCCTTTACTGATTTTTGTTTCTGTTTTTTTATTTTATTAAAATAATTTTTTCAATGTTTATTTATTTTTTTTATTTTTTTTAACGTTTATTTATTTTTGAGACAGAGAGAGACAGAGCATGAATGGGGGAGGGTCAGAGAGAGAGGGAGACACAGAATCTGAAACAGGCTCCAGGCTCTGAGCCATCAGCACAGAGCCCGACGCGGGGCTGGAACTCATGGACCATGAGATCATGACCTGAGCCAAAGTCGGACACTCAACCAACTGAGCCACCCAGGCGCCCCTGTGTTTATTTATTTTTGAAAAAGAAAGACAGAGCATGAGTGGGGGCAGGGCAGAGACGGAGAGGGAGACAGAATCCAAAACAGGCTCCAGGCTCTGAGCTGTCAGCACAAAGCCCAATGTAGGGCTTGAACACGTGACCAGTGAGATCATGACCTGAGCCAAAGTCACAGGCTTAACCGACTGAGCCACCCAGGCACCCCGCTTCCAGTTTTTAAGTTAATATCATTTATTATAAAAGAAATCCATCATTGTATATTATTTTATACGGTAAAAAATACAGTGCAGGTATACTATCCTAGAAGTTACTAAGATTTCTGCTGAAGAAAATTATTTTAGGGGTCTTTCCTCTAGTTTTTATGGCCAATATTTTTCCCTATCCTAGAATACCCCAAAACTCAGACATATTTGTTAGTTTTTGCTACCACATACATATTATTAAGAGGCAACCCTTTCCTACACAGAATCAATACTGGTGCTATACTTACTGAACCAATACCATCCATCAGTGTTAACAGTGATGCTACCACTCTTTTTTCCACTTCATTCTGAGCCCCTTCTCTTTTAGGACAAAGTGCATCCAGCTCATCAATAAAAATAATTGATGGGTGCCTGAAAAAAACAAGTAAAATGAATTCTTTAATATACATATGATTTTTAAATTTGATACAATCCATTCCAATTACAAAACTAAAAGGGAGTACTCTTAAATTCTTAACTGAAATGCACATGCAAAAGAATGAAACTTACACCATACACAAAAATAAATTCAAAAATGAATTAAAAACCTAAATGTGAGATGTGAAACCATAAAAACCCTAGGAGAGAGCACAGGCAGTAATTTCTCTGACATTGGCCAGAGAAGCATTTTTCTAGATACGTCTCCTAAGGCAAGGGGGAAAAAAAAAAAACCTATTGGGAATACATCAAAATAAAAAGCTTTTGCATAGCAAACTAAATAATTAACAAAACTAAAAGGCAATCCTACTAAATGGGAGAAGATACTTTCAATGACATATCCTATAAAGGGTTACTATCCAAAACATAAGAAGAACTGATATACCTCAACATCCAAAACACAAATAATCCAACTAAAAATGGGCAAAATACATGAACGTACATTTCTCCAAAGAAGGTATACAGATTGCCAACAGACACATAAAAGATGCTCAACATTACTTATCATGAGGAAAATGCAAATCAAAACTACAATGAGATATCACCTCCCACTGGTCAGACTGGCTAAAATAAAAAACACAAGAAACAACAAGCGTTGGTGTGGATGTGGAGAAAAAGGAACCCTCATGCCTTATGCTGGTGGGAATGCAAACTGGTGCAGTCACTGTGGAGGTTCCTCAAAAAGTTAAAAACAGAACTACCCTACAATCCAGCAATCACACTACTGGGTATTTACCAAAAAAATACAAAAATACTCATTCAAAGGTATGTATGCACCCCTATGTTTATAGTAGCATTATTTACAATAGCCAAATTATGGAAGTAGCCCAAGTGTCCATCAATAAATGAGTGGATAAAGAAGATGTGGTATTAATACACAATGGAATATTATTCAGCCATAAAAAGAATGAGATCTTGCCATTTGCAATGACATGGATGGAGCTACAAAATATAATACTAAGTAAAATAAGTCAGTAAGAGAAAGACAAATACCATATTATTTCACTTACCCTTGAATTTAAGAAACAAAACAAATGAGCAAGGAAAAAAAAATAGAGTGAGAGAGGGTGAGAAAGAGGGAGACAAGCTAAAAAACAGACTTTTAAATATAGAGAACAACTGATGATTACCAGAGGGATGGGTGAAATAGGTGATGGGGATTAAGGAGGACAATCGTCCTGATGAGCAATGGGTGATATATGGAATTGCTGAATCACTATATTGTACATCTGAAACTAATATAATACTGCAAACTATACTGGAATTAAAATAAAAAACTAAAAAAAGGAAATTTAATGCATCAAATTTAGGGCTTTAATTAATAATATTAAGACAAAGGCAATAGGATGAAAAACCTTAGATTAATTGTTCTAACACATCTGAACTCAATAAAAAGAAGACTATTGAGAATAGTCTACTACTCATGAGTCTATGCCCAAACAGAAGTTGACTGCTAATGCCCAATAAATTGTTATGATTGCAACAATTCAGAAGATGAGGCCAGAGATGTCCCTTGAAGCAGGTGTAAATTCCAAGGAATAGAAATTCCAATAAACACTAAAAAAAGTCGGGGTGGAAATTGGGGTCAAAATAGTTGAGCATCCAACTTCAGCTCAGGTCATGATCTCAAGGTTTGTGGGTTCAACCCCTGCATCAGGCTCTGTGCTGACAGCTCAGAGCCTGGAGCCTGCTTGGATTCTGTGTCTCCCTCACTCTCTGCCTCTCCCCGACTCGCAGTGTCTCTCTCAAAAATAAATAAACATTAAAAAAAGAAAGAAATTCCAAATGCTCACCCTCTCTTTTTTTTTTTTTTTAGCCTATTAAAAAAAGAACTCTCAAGATGATGAGTTCTCCCATAAAACGACGTGAATTCTCTCACAATAGAAAGCTTCAACTTCCAGGAACATAACAACAAAAACATACTACATAATAAGGTACACCACTGGTTCTCAAATTTTTAGTATTGGGACAACCAACTACTTTTTTCATCTGCTGTCTCTGGGAAAAAAAACTTTAAATATGAAAGTTCCTTTGACAAGAGTAGAATTATGGTAAGTTAAAAACCAAAACAGTGGTAGAGACAGCCTTATTACAAATAACATTACATTAGACCATGTTATAGACCACACTCTTACACTCATTGCAATGCAATAGGTAGCCTAAACTGAGGAATAATCAAAGCGAACTGTTTCTAAAGAGCAACATATTTGTCTCTTTGAAGCAAACTATAATAAAAAAAAATTAAGCATAAAGGGCTACTATGATACAATCTACTAAGGCAACTAGATAAACTGGATATGCCTAAGTACTCTAGATATTCTAAAGAAAGAAAATCATACATTTATATGCTCAAGCAAAATCACCTGACCTACCATCTGTTTTAATTCTCCTACTTTATGTAATTCAGTAACTCACTTATCAAACTTTCAAGGCAATATTAGATAAAAATACATTAAATACAACTTCATTAGATTTACAATCATTGCTAGTGCTATCGGTATTATTTTTGTACTGTTCTTTCATGTTTCATATAGTGTTAGTAAGTGTACTTTGATTACAATATCCTTGACTACTAATTACAAACATCTAAATGTAAAGAATACCGTAGAGTGGCTTCAGCAAATATCTGACGTAGCCTTGCTTCTGTCTCCCCATAGAATCTGTAACAAATAAAATACATTTAAGGACCAACTTTTAGTGTTTTTAAAGTTTCGTCTTTAAAAGTTCATCTGACTTTTCAAATATTTCCAGAATACTTAAAACTACTTTCAAAAATTATTTTCAAAACTTAATTTTTATACACAATTAAAAGCAAATTTAAAGTATTTCAACATATGAATATCCAGAGGGAATGCTATGCAGTCATTTTTTTGAAACACATTTAAGAAGTATTTAATAAAACTCTTTATTCTATTGAATTATGCACCTACTTGCTTATAATTTCAGGACCATTAATTACAGAAACATAGGCTCCGACTTCATTAGCAACAGCCCTAGCAATCATGGTCTTCCCAGTACCTGGAGGGCCATAGAGTAACACTCCTCTAGGTGGAGGAATTCCTAGAAGAAAAAGAAGACTGTATTGAACATTACTAGGTTTCTTGTGTTATCATATGATTGCAAACATGAGTTGTAAATTTACCTTGTATCACAAAACTAAAGTAAGAGTCAGACCTTCTGACCCTGCCCCTTCCCCTCAAAATGTACTAACTGGCCCAAACACTGATCTCCAGAAATGATTTTTTCTCTCTCAGTAGACCCAACCAGGCCAGGCACACTGGTGAAAAACTGGCTGGACGTCCACAAAATTGCTATGTCCCATCCCACACAGCACAGTTCAATAATCAGAACACAAAGCTCAGATAAGAACAAGGACATCCAAAACAAGCCATCAATCTTAATTTTCATCCAACTAGCCAACTTAGACTATATAAAGATTACTAGCAAAGTGTCGATCCAAGGGTTCATTCCATATTTATATATAGACTCATGAAAAAGGAAAAGGCAGAGAAAGAGATGGTAGGCATCAAATACATGCAGAGGATCTGGGCAATTACCATACAGAGGAATCCCTGAGTTTCCTAGGAGCCAATCACTCCCTTAACCACTTGCTTAAATGCAAATAGATCTGCACACAGCTACATTTCCTAACAAAGAAATTTTACCCAACATATTTGAATGTTTGGTTTACTTCTTTGGTCATTGCAGCTCATCTAGAATGACAAGATACCAATTCTAGATCAAATACAAACAATTGTGGAAGTATGCAATTAGAAGATACAAGGCTGCAGCTAACTCACATTACAATCTAAAGAGATAAAGCATGAAAAAAAGCTCACAGTTTAACCGGCATCTCCCAAAGCAACTCACACCTCCTACCATACCTACTACTCAGGAAAAAAAAAACAAGAAAAGAAAGTGAACAATTATTTAAATGGAATGAGCCAACTGCTTTTTAGTTCGAATTTAATACTTCTGGGTGCAATACACTGAAGGAATCATACCGTAACTCTTGAAAAGTTCAGGCTGCTTGAGAGGCAATTCAATTATTTCTCTAATTGTTTTCAGCTGACTATTTAAGCCTCCTATCATGTCGTAAGTTACTTTGAATTGGTTGTCTTGCTCTTCTGAATTTGTACAAATCTTTGTAAAATTCACTCTCGTTGTTGAAGAAATAAAATAAAAAGTATCAGTGTTGTGCTTTGTTCCCACATAGGCTGACTTTAGCAATCTCTCTTCATTAACAAGTTGCTCATTTCCTCCTTTGGCCAATTCAAAACTACATTTAAGTCCTGTGATCTCTGCTAGTTCAAGTCCACTGTTGTCCCTAGGAATCTGTGTAACATCTGAAAAAATGTCACTAGCTTCATTTATCATTCTGTCATCTACTGGTTTGCAAGGAGTACTGCTTGATGTTGGATCCCGAGGCTCTTCCAGATCTAACTGGCTCAGCTGTAAGGCTACATCCAGGGTACTGGTGTCTATGTTGGACTGTTCACAGGCCATTCCTTGAGCATCAGTGTCATTCTGAGGCCTTCTCAATATCATGCCATCTGTCCCTTTCACTCTCAACACTTGCAACTTGCATGGTCGTCCATAGAATGTACAATACAAAAAGTTGCCTGGTAAAACAATCTTGCCATCTAGAAAATAATTTTTTAAAAATATATGTTAGCATAACTTTTACCCATTTAATGTTTAAATAGCAATTTATTCCATCTATTAATAAAACTACTGAAAGAGTAATCATATTAATAATTGCCATAAAAAAGAGACAACTTAATATTCCCATTTGATAGAGCACTATCTAGAGACAGAAGGACAAGATAACTCTTTACAATCTTCCACACTCAATACATCTAGAATCCTATCAACTCGTCAACACATAGCCAGGCACTCCATATCTAATAATAAACTCACCTAAAATGGCACACCTGCCTGATACTCCAAGGTAACATTTCTCATAGGAAAGACCAAGAGCTCAAGGGTTAAAAGTTTCAGTTCTAACACTGACTTTGTCCGTAGACAAATCATGTATTCTCTCTACTGCTCAACTACCAATCAATTGAGAAAAAAATCCCTATCTCTAAAGGACATTAATTCATTGAGAAGAACATTCTCCACACTGTTGAAGATAACTATGATCTATATAAGACTTCAAAGACACATTACTTTATTTACTGCTACCTTGCTTCTTACAATTTAAAAAACTATTTAAAATACGTCTCTCACCTAGTTTTCTCAGAAGACAACCAGTCAGTTGTTCTTCATTAATATCCACATTTTGGTCACTATAAAGGGCAGGGGAAATAGAAATCAGCATCAAGTACACCAGAAACTAAAACGTAATATAAAATTACATATGCATAGTTGTAATGCAGACCTAGTCACCTGGAAATGGTTTATACAATACTGGAATGATTTATGCTTTTAAGATATTTCTTATAGCCATGAAAAGATGATTTGCAACTTGGTGTCCTAATGACCTAAATCAATGTTCTTCAAAATACAGAGTACTATCCATTAGTGGATCATGAAATCATTTCAGTCAATCTCATCCAGCATTTTTTTAATAGAATACAAAATGTCAAAAGTACATCACACATAGAAAAGGTAAATACTGCTTAGAAAAGCATTACTTTCTTATACATACATTCATACACATCTATATACTCATGTATACAGGTACACACGTGAGTACATGCGTGCACCATATTTGTGGATGTATACATATACTAGATCACAATGAAATGTATTTTTCATTGTGTGTCATAGCCAACATTTGAAAAACACTGATCTAAATTAACCATCCCTTTTCTGAAATTGCCTAGCTTGGAGAAAGGCTTTTACTCATAGATTACTTCACTTCCGTTCTATAATTTAGAATTTATCTTTCTGGAAAATTAAGTCCTTATAGGACATTACCTGAAGAGGTACAAATAAGAAAAAGGGAGAGTAATGGTCTAATGGAATTTTATTCTGGAGAAAGGGCATGCCTACAGAAAAATGAGAATCCTTTCTTCCAGCTAATGATTGTTTTTCAGAAAGGTTGCTTGAGTATAGGAAGTAGGTACATCTAAAAATCTTGTGAAGAAACATGTTCTTGGGCAGTTCTCAGAATAGGTGCATTTTTCCTTATTCCCCACATGTAAGTAGCCCATACCAGCAGAGGAGGCTACGGTTGTGAGGTTGTCCAGAGATCGGTGGAAAAGTGATAGTTTAGCTCAAGAAGAGGTATATTAGCAGACCCATCTGGTCCAAATCTAAGCCTTGTTCTCCAATCAGTTTATCAGCAACAAACGAAACCAATAGTGTCAACTTCATTATTTGCAGATTCACCCACCTGCTACAATTTATTTGTAACCCCAAAATCAATACTAAAAGAGCTTGCCTAGTCATTCACGGACATGTGTAGAGCAGGCAAAACGATGGAGTCACTAAACACTTTCCTAGCTGAGGTTGAAAAAGAACTCTTGTTTTCATTCTTCCAGAGACAACAAGAAGATGGCAGAGATGGTAGGAGGCAGTGCAGTGTACAGCAGAAAGTGCAGCTCGTGGGTGAGCTGGAGATTTGAATCCTAACTGGTATCTGTCAGTGAGGTGGCCTCCGGCAAGTCACTCAACATTTCTGAACTACCACTTCTCTTTTATAAAACAAAGAAGTGAAAATCTATCAGAATGAGTTGTCTTGGGATTATAATGTATGGTAAGATATGTATATGTATATATTTATACTAAATATGCACTAAATATAGTAACGTTATTAGCATATGCTATTATATATAACATACGTTAAATATTTAAACATAAATATGTAACATTAAATATAAATATATACATACATTGCTAATACAGTACTCACAGCAACTTTATAGAACATACTTAGCACTAAGAATGAGAATCGACTGTGTATTCTTATAGAGAGAAAAAAAAGAACAAGGGGGAAATTTCAAATCAAATGTATATATAAACTACACGGGAAATTGTATCTCCTTAAATGCTTAAATTCACTTCTGTTTATAGAACTCTGAAACCAGTTACATTTAAATCATTTCTATTTATTAAACTCTGAATAGAAGATATTCACAAACGAGTATAAGAATGGTAAAAATACTAAGTTTTGCTTTTAAAAAATGAATAGGTGCAGATAAAATTACTTCCACTAGAAGGAGCTCTAACCTTACTAATAAAATTTTTCAGAAGCAAACGAAGGGTATGATCCACAGATTGAAATTACTGATTTATCTTACTTGAAATTAAGTTTCTTGTCTAAGCTCTGCTGCCACATTTAAAACACAAGATTTTTTAATAAAATTGTAAAAACGAAGCTGCCATTTAAACACATACAGTCCCTGTATAGTAGGTTATCGTCATCACCTAAGACTGCTGCGCCCTCAAGAGGTCACACTAGCTAGATCATCAAAAATCCAATCAACTGATGCCTGCAACCTGCAGCACTGTCTCAAAACACTCTAAAGATAAATACCATTTAATCTGTGTAGAACTACTACCTAACCCATAAAATAATGGGTAAGTTACTTCTCACCCAGGCCATTTCCTCATCTTTAAAAAAAAAATTTTTTTTTAATGTTTGTTTATTTCTGAGACAGAGACAAAGCGTGAGAGGGGGAAGGACAGAGAGAGAGGAAGACAGAATCAGAAGCAGGCTCCAGGCTCTGAGCTGTCAGCACAGAGCCTGATGCAGGGCTCGAACTCACAAACCGTGAGATCAAGACCTGAGCCAAAGTCTGTCGCTCAACCGACTGAGCCACCCAGGCTCCCCTCCTCATCTTTAATAATGGGATAAATATGGGCACCTTGTAGGATGTTCAGAGTATTAAATGAGAGAAGAAAAGGTGTGTATGCATGTGTGTGCTAGTACACAGCTGGTGCACAACACATGCTGAGTTTTCCTTTCCCCTCTTCCTTTTATTTTACTGTTTGCTAAAATATTATTAAGTTCTCTGAAAAATGTTTCCTGGTTTATAAGAAAAAAAAATATGCTAATGCTCAAGCTTGAAATCTACAAAACTATCAAAAGAGAAGAAAACATTTTAAAATCAAACTAATGACTGGAAAATGTTTTGTGATTCTTGCAAACAGAATATCCAAGACGACTGGTGATATACTTTAACTGCATTGATAAGGTGATTCAAACAATTAGTCTTTGATGAGGGACTTTCAAAATCTAATAAATATAACTGTTTTATTAGATTGAATAATCAATGAGTTAAAATATATAATCAGGTACTGTGCTTGAACAGTCTTGATTAAAACTTATTTCTTGCCTATTCACGGTAATCTACTCCCTCCTTTACAACATCTCTGATTACACTGCGATCCAAGATGAAAACTACTGTGGAACATACATCGGTAATAATTCCTCTCACCAAAAAAATCAGGGCAGACTCTAATCACACGGCAATACAGTCTCTAGTCCATACATTAAGTAGCACTCATCCAGCTTGTACTGTCTAATACAGTAGAACACTAGCCACTCGCCACGTGTGGCTATCGAGCACTTAAATGTGGCTAGTCCAAATTGAGGTGTGCTGGCAAGTTTAACATACACAGTGGATTTTTTAAGACTTAGTTTGAAAAACAGAATGGAAAATAACTTATTAACAGTTTTTTATAGTTATTACAAGTTAAAATAAAATTTTACAATTGGTGTAATACTAAATATTAATATTGAAATAATGACTAACTTACATATTAAATAAAATATTTCACCAACTTGATTTTCCTTCTTAAAAGTGGCTACCAGAAAATGCAAAATTATATATGTGGTTCACATTTGTGATTCTTGTTCTATTTCTGCTGGGCAGCACTCATTTAGATTGTCACCAAAGAAAAGCACCAAACCTGAGTGTCACATCCATTTCCTCAGCCTGAAGCACAGCACCCAATAGAGGCTGGACTTGAATGGCATCACCAACGCTCACGCCCACATTCTTTTGCGCCATTTCACTCAGGCCAACCTTGCCTCCAGGAAATCCTGCCACAGGCCAGGCTGTATAGACCTGCCCAGAACACAGGAAATAAAAATATGAGAAAATAAATATTCGTAGAAAATCATTAATTTATAAGGCAGAAAACTAAGCACAACTAAGTATATGGATCTGCAAAACACAGTCCTCACCCCCAAAGGACTTAGAATCTGACACAAGTTACAAAAAACTTTATTTATTTATTTATTTATTTACTTACTTATTTACTTATTTTTGAGAGAGAGAGAGAGCACAAGTAGGGAAGGGGCAGGGAGAGAGGGGAGCAGAAGATCAGAAGCAGGTTCTGTGCTGACAGCAGCGAGCTCAATGCAGGGCTCAAACTCACGAGCTGTGAGATCATGACCTGAGCCAAAGTCAGATGCTCAACCAACTGAGCCACCCACATGCCCCCAAAAAACTTTTTAAATAAGTACTTAATTATGTCTTTTTGTGAAGATTAGGAATGATACCATGGTGAAATCGGTAGAAGATTTGAAAGGTAATTTACAAAAAAGAGACAAAGGCATTAACATGCAATAAGAAAATGGGAAAAAATACTAAAGACAAGCTAACTGTAAGCCTGGCACATAAACTTCATCCAGGAAGTAGTGAAGGAGCTGGCACAAGAGCTTCATGGGAACCTGGATCTCATTAGACTTAAATGTTAATGAAGAGAAGTGAAGATTTCCAGCTCCAGATAGTGGTCTGAGCTCACATATTTATAGTCTCCACAAAACACAGTGAAGAACTTTTTTTCTTTTTCTTTTTTAAGAATAATGAAAAGAATGAGAACTGTGCCATCAGCACCTAATAGATTTCAAATCATTTTCAGAGGCCACCACTGGATGAGAGAACACTGACTAATCAAGCAGCAGAAGACATAGCAGAGGCAGAGGCCGGCAGCAGGAAAGACCAACCTGGCAAAAATGATCCAGGAAAGGTTCTGGGTTTCGAGCCTCAAATATAATGAATAACAATAAGAACAAACAGCTGAAAACAGGAAAAGTAATCACATATTTGTGATGACACTCATATTTGAGAGGACACTCATACTCCCAAACAACATTTCTATGAAGAAATACAATTAACTGGAGGAGACAGGGCTGCTAGTGTGTGTCACCACCTTGGGAGAAAAGGCCTCTGTCTATATTATGACATTTAGAGGCTACTATTGCCAGGGTAGTCATAGATATCAAAGGAAGGAAAAGTTTATACAGATGTGAGGGTCATTTAAAATATAGTTTTTCATTTATTACTTTGTTGAAAACTAAAATAAAAAATGTCACAAATCTTTCTAAACTAAGGAAATGAAAAACACTCTTACCTCTTGTTTTCCATCCAAACTGGTAAGCAACACTGGTCGACCTATACATATATTTGCAGATTTCATAGTGTTGAGTCCAAGTTCAACAAGGGAATTTTGGAATGTTTTAGGAACTCTGTCATCTACCAAAAAGGGGAAGAAAATTATTTTCATACTATTTTATAACTACTGAAATTAAAGCCTGCTTTCTGTTGGGAGTAAATTAAAATCTTCTAGCCACATAACCAAATGAATGCACTTACCATACTCTGGAGAAACCAGTTCCAATCCTCTTTATTTTAACGAAAATACTTAAAACCAAACCTTTCTAAGGGTCCACTGACTGACAGTTTGAGTGCTAACTAAAAGACGATGTCTTATGGGGTAGGTATTAGTTTCCATCTTTTAAGAAATATGATCTCTGGGGCGCCTGGGTGGTGCAGTCGGTTAAGCGTCCGACTTCAGCCAGGTCACGATCTCGCGGTCAGTGAGTTCGAGCCCCGCGTCGGGCTCTGGGCTGATGGCTCAGAGCCTGGAGCCTGTTTCCGATTCTGTGTCTCCCTCTCTCTCTGCCCCTCCCCCATTCATGCTCTGTCTCTCTCTGTCCCAAAAATAAATAAAAACGTTGAAAAAAAAAAAAAAGAAATATGATCTCTAACTTGTTTAAGAACTGCACATGCCTGCAACAAGGCTTTTCATACTTGCATAGCGACCTTTGTACTACAGATTCTAAGTCGAGTTGGCTACTAATATTCAAAGACTTGAGCTGGGGAACTGGCATTTTGTTCTGGAGGGTTAAGTTACATTTCCACTTCTGATCCACATGATAGCAATTCAAGAGTTTTCTTTTCTAATCCCAGGAACATATGGATAAAATAGGAACACAGGTCTTATTCCTTAGGCAAGTACACACTGACCAAAATGACCATTCTGTGTTTTCAACTTTGGCCAAGGACAGGGATTAGAATTCAGCCCAGCTGACGACACTTCTGAAAATGATGCGCTGATATGTCCACCCCCACCCAACCACCTCCTCAAGTACACATCTGGTCCTTCTTTTGATTCTTTCAGCACCCCATGCTGTCAGATATTAGTATTTATCATCATAATATACATTTGTTTTTCAGTCTGACTTTCTCCTAAACCCTGTGCTGCTTTGGCAGGAATTGGGTCAAATTCATCTTTGTATCTCCAATGCCTAGGAGTGCCAAATATAGCAGTCGCATAATAAACATCCATGAAATCAGTGAACATACTAGATGGCTACACAGCATTTTACTTTTCAGCACAAAATCAATGAAACACTTAACGAAATTTTAGCTTGTCACAACTTTGTTACAAACTTTATTATTAGACACATAGACCATAATCATGGTTCTCTAATATTGGTGTTCCTTAATAATCAAAAAAAGGATACTTTGAGTTTAAAAGGAACTAAGTCAATAAAAATAAAATCATGAGGTGTATCTAATTATTTTTTGCCACTACAAAATAACTACACAACACACTTATTTTCTGTCATCAGCTGAGAAAAACAAAGCATCTCACAGAGCTAAGATTAACAGTACTGAACACTTTATAAAATAAGCATATTTCACAATATGAGGCTGAAAAGAAATTCAACTTTCCTACGAGCATCAGGTCTCTTAACATAGTTTACTCATCAATAACACCAAAGAATCCTTTTGATGACTTAATAATGTTCACTTTTCTGCCACTTCTGTCTTTCTAAACCTCAATAAATTACCCTTTCCTCTTGAAAATTACCTCCCAGGTATATCCAGTCCTTGGCAAGACTATAGGTTTTCTTCTTCCTTCCATCCTATCCTGCACATTCACCATGCACCAGAATTTGACAAATCACAGGCTTCTCTAAATACTCCACTTCCTCCTTATCACCAATGAAGATCATGTTCAAACTCTCATTCACTGGCCTTATTTCCTAATACATCTCCACACATTCTCTTACAGTCCTCATTCCTCCAATACCATACTTTAAAAACATACCTCAACATCCACTTTCCCTATTAACTATACATTATTGAGCACTTTATGTGCCAAATTAACTAACGAGACAGTAAAGGTCATTTCAAACAACCATCCACTCTTCATCTGTTCTTTCAGCAAACATTTGCTATGTGCCTACAACATGGCAGATAATACGTTAGGCACTAGGAATACAAAGTGAACAAAAGCAGACAGTCCTTGGCCTCTCAGAGCTTATGATCCAATAGGATGAGGGAGTTATTAAACAATCACTGAATAATTCTGTAGTTGTAAACTAAGATTAATACAATGAAAGAATGACCAAGAGGGCCAGGAGAGCCTATAAAGTGGAATCTAATTGGGAAGAACCAGAGAATGCTTCTCCAAGGAAATAATGTTGAAATTCAGATCTGAAGGAAGAAGAGGAATTAACTAAATGAAGAGGGAATAAAGAGAATTCCTGACAAAGAGAACAGCTTGTACAGAAAAGTACTGGACAGAAGGAAGAATTATATACCTGAGTACACGCAGAATGGCAGGAGACAAGAAGGGGCCATGTAAGGAAGGTCAAGACCTCCCAGGGAAGTAGGCTGATAGGAAGCTGCTGGGCTCCTGACAGCAACTGAAGATCACTTAGGGGTGAAAAGCAAACTCATGACAAGATGTTCGTTTTTAAAGATCATTCTGGCTGCACAGTGGGGGAAAAAAAATGGGGAGTGGCTAGTGCAGTAGTCCAAGTGACAGATGATGGTGTTTGAGATCAAGGTAGAAACAGTGGTAATAAAGAAGAGGAATGTAGGTGATAAACAGAACTTGGTAGTGGACTGGATATGTGAGATCTGTGAAAGAGATGCCATGGATGACCCCTAGGATTCTGAAGTTTACAATGGAAAATTGAACAGGTCCTGAGTTTGTTTTGTTGTGAAAATATGCGTTTATGAGGTCAGTCTTTAAGTACCTTTGAAAAATCCAAGAGAAGAGGTATAGCGCAATGCTATACAAAGTGTGATCAGCAAACTATTTGTTACCAGTTCATGAAAGGATAAATACAGAAAACAAGGGTTTACTTAGAAGCTTTTATTACAACTGGACAGACTAATCACATATCTGTTGAATCTAATAAAAATTTCTATTTTTAAATTTATTTTCCTAGTAATTTCTTTTTAATTATATTTACAACAGCACTAAGCTTTACATATGATATTTTAAAAACTTCCTTACAAAGTTTTAGTATTGGTCTAGAAGACAACTGAACAAAGACTCAGAAATAGTATATTTTACAAATATAATTACAAAAATGATGAGGGTATAGATGGAAAACTATGGACACTGGATGAGCTTGCCCAAGAAAAATTTGTACAGAGAAAAAAAGGGTTTCAGGACTAAAAAACTGAAGAACTGAAACATCTGGCAGCCAAGTAGAAGATTAGCCTGCAAAGGAAAGTGAAAAACTACGTACCAACAAAAGGACAGAGAAAAACTAGGAACATTTAATGACACATAAGTCAAAAATTAAACTATTTTTAGAAAAAGGAAATGGTAGACAACACCAAAAGTTGCTGAGAGGTCAAGTAAGGGAAGTAATGAAAAGCTGTCCATTGTATTTACCAACATGGATATGATCAGTGACCATGGCAGGGACAGTTTCCATGGAATGATGGAATGGATACCAAAAGAGAAATAGGCTAATTAGGAGGTGAGAAATGAGGAGATAGAGACTACTCCATTAAAGAAATTTGGCATGAGGGGCGCTTGGTTGGCTCAGTCAGTAAAGCATGCAATTCTTAATCTCCACGTTGTAAGATACAGTTCCATGTTGGGTGAAGGGATTATTTAAAAACCAAATCTTAAGGGGCAGCTGGGTGGGTCAGTCACTTAAGTATCTGACACTTGATTTCAGCTCAGGTCATGATCTCACAGTTGGTGGGTTCAAGCCCCACCTCGGGCTCTGTGCACGCAGTACAGACCTGCTTGGGATTCTCTCTGTCCCTCTCTCTCTCTGCCCGTTCCCCCCACACACACTCTCTATCTCAAAAATAAGTAAATAAACTTTTTTTAAAAGCAAATCTTAAAAAAAAAATGGCAATGAAAGGATGGACAGAGAGAGAGGATGGTGATAAGAAGAAAATGTAGAACTTTTGTTTTGATTTAAAATGTAAGAGAAATCAGGTTTAAATTTCAATAAAAAGGGTCCAGTTAAAAAAGAGGTTGAATATGCAGGACAGAAAAAGTTGTCCTCTGACCCCCTAAAGGAAACTGAAAACACCGTATTAACTCTAAAATTGTGATTAGGATCAACATTAGGCAGAAGTAAAAATCTTGCCACTAGGTTGGCTGGTGATCTGTTTTTTCGAAGCTGTAACACACAGCTTCAACCCAGAAGCTTTACCAATTAAATAACTTTTCAGGCAAATCCGTTCTCTTAACTCAAGGGGGCTGGTATCTGGGATAATGGCTTCAGAGTCAAATACCGCCTACCACTTAGTAAACCTGTGGAACCTGGAGCCAATCACGTTAACTATTCTTCCTTTGTAAAATAGGCATAATGATACTGTACCTATCTTCCAGGGTTTCTGTGAAGATTAAATGAGATATATGTGTGACATAAGTAACCTACTGATAACAATAGTATGTAATTGATAGCTGTTATTAAATACCAGAACCTGTCTAACAGAAGAAAAAATAAACCTTAAAGGCTTTCATTCTCAAAGACACAACGCTCTTAGGAAGATGCATCCACATCTTCACTGAACTGGGTGTCCAGTTTTCTGCTGTATGTATACCCTATACTCGCTAGCTTTAAGCAACTTCGCAGTTAAATATGTCGTTCATCTTAAACGAAGTAAAGTTTTTCAAGTATAACTTACAAATTCAAAACAATTCACAGAAGAGATGGCTTGACTTAGCCACGGATAAGCCGTTTCTGCCTGACTTCTTCAGTGTAGGCGTGGCTTCGGACATCTTACAAAATTCTGTGCTACTCTCACACCTATGTCTCGATCAGTTTTCAGAAGCCTCTGCATCATAAGGGCGGCATCGCTAGGTCTACGCTTTCCCAGGTTGCGCCCCCGGCCTCAGGTCTCCCACCCAAAACTCTTTACCCTTTTCTAAAAAGTTGGTCACCACCAGAGTCCCAGCCGCCGCCGCGGTGCCTGGCCCAGGAGGAGCCGAGGGCCCCGAAAAAGAGGAAGCAGAAGAGGGTGAGGTTGAACCATTCTCTGCGCTTCGATTCAGTCGTTTTCTGTTCTTCTTGGAAGACATGATCAGAAGGTAGCCTGAAAGAAGCAACTGCAAAGGCGGCTCAACGTGCGCGTTCCTCTGGAAGAAAAACTTCCGGGGCAGAAGTCAACGAGGCTCCGCCCTTCACCGTAATCCCCAGAGTGGAGCGCAATTAGAGGGAGAACGGAGCGTTTTCAGAACTCGCCGTCTTTGAAGAAGCTGAAGAGGTTATGACTTTTACAAAGGAAGGTGGATTACGTAAACACAACCGTCATTTAGATTGTAAATTCCTGAGAGGATTTTTTTTTAATCTCTGCCTGCCTTCCCTATTCCTGGACAAACGTCTGTTGACTTAAAAACAGGTGGAAAAGTTTCTCCTCAGCTTTCCTGGAACCAGCCAAATTCCTGAGAGGACCTGGTGGACAGGACTTCGTGATCTCTTCGGTAAAGCGCTACGAAAGTGGCGTTAACTCAACTCTGAGATAGATGGGTGGCACTCTTCTAAAATTTATGGTAATGACCTCCGCTCCTGACCTAGGCAGAAGGTTGATTTTAGGGGCCTAAAGAGTGGTCGAATGGGGACTTGAAGATGCCGCCATTTCTGAGCGGGCGTTTCTGGCGCGCGGTGTTCACGCGGACCCGCGGCGAAAGGCTCTGGGCAGGGCACCGCCGGGCCTCGGGCGGTCCGGGTTGCAGGTGGGACGCTCTCGCCGGAGCGGACGTGTTGCGAGCCGAGCCGGACAGATTCGGGGGCATCTCGGTGCATCTGGAGCGGTTTCGCGCACTGGACCGCCTGGACGCCGCCTCTTTCCAGAAGGTCTTGCAGGGCAAGTGTGCCTTGGCCGAGGGGTTCCCTGGCTTCCTGAGCGTTTCTGCGTCCACTAGTCATGCTCTCGGCGAGTCAAGTACCGAGAGGGCAAATGTGACCTGTATCAGTTTCCCCTGTTTTGTTCTTGTTCCCTTTGATGGGAGATTTCTGAGGCAGCTGGGTGAAATGGTGACTATTCTAGACCTTGACATCGGCAGCACTAGTTTCTGGTAACCTTTCTAGCGTGTGACCTTCGGCAAGTTCTGTCAACTACCATTTCCCCTTCCATAAAACTGGTTAGCAACGCATAGGATTGCTGAGGGTGAAGTGCTTAGCACGGTATCTGTCACATACTTAACGCTCAGTAGGTGGTAATATTATTCCATTATTATTGACTGTCATTTACTGAGCCTTAGTTATGCGGAGCACTTTGCCCTAGACAAAACTATACAGGTGGTGGACAGTGAGTGGACCAGAGAGGTTCGAAGTGGTCAGTTTTGTACACAAATTGGATCAGGCTGACTCATCAAAAACTAGAGTTTGCTTCTAAAACAGAGCGACAAGTCTTTCATGATTAACCAACGAGCATGGTGGGCTGTTTCGGTCTTCAATAAGAAAACTCTTCACTCTTCTTGAACCTCAAGTCCAAAGATAAGATAGCAAGCTTGGGTGGAGGAGCCTTCATTATGAGAGAAGCCTGTGATTTGGCTGGAGTTTTTCAAACTGCCCATGAGGGTCCGTATGTTCGAAATGAAGGCATAGCGTAGAAATTCAGCCATTGAAAGATCTTCTCTTAAAGGAAACTTCAGATAATCTTTATCCTATTGCACAACATGGGAAGTGAGCATCTGTATTAATATAATTGAGCTAGTTATTTCATTCTTTAATTATTCTCACTCCCAAACTACATACCTGTTCACCTCATTTCTCTGTTCGTGAATAATTGCTGATTTCAACAATATCAGCAGTAGGAGAATCAAATCAGTGTTCATCCTCTAATATGTCTGCGTATGTGTGGGTAGAGACTGGTATTTATTGCATACATTTGTCACTGGCCAGGTGATTAAAGCACTACCTTAGCCAACAAAGCAAAACAGGAGGATTGGGGTTGGAGTCACACATCCAGGTTTCAAGTCCCAGGTTCTGCCAGGTGCTTACCCAGGCATTAGACAAATCACCACTGAAAAATTTGCCTCTTAGGTTGCTTATGCAAATAATGCCAGCCCTTTTTACTTTACTGGATAGATGTGGTGATCTAAGATAAATTATATGAAACTAGTTTATAATCTGTGTAGTACCATGTACCTATAGTCTTTAATAAAACATTCTATTACATTTATGAATTGTATTGCTAGACACTGGTTTAAGAACTTCACAGATATTCATTTAGTCCTCATAACGATTCTGTGAGGTAGATATTTTTACCTCTATTTTAAAGGTGATTGTACTGAGGCACAGAGAGATTAAGTAACTTCCCTAGGCTCTAGCTCTAGAATCTGTTCTTAATGCATTATGTTGTCTCTAAGAGTTAGTGCAAATTTTGTTGTTAACTATGTCAAACTTGAGCTTTTTCACTCAATTGGAATGATTGGGGAAGATACAGGAAATTTCTGGAATGAGAGAAACATCCTATAATCTTTATTGGAGTGGGTTACACAGGTGTATGAATATGTCAGAACTCATTAAATGTACACTTAAGATTTGTGCACTTCACTTTTTGTAATTGTAATTGTGTGTCAATTTTTAAAAGATTTAATCGGAAAAAGAGGGAGGTGAGAAGGATCTGACTCCATAGCCCCAAATCAAGAAGTCTTTATGAAAGGCTCCTATGTATTTTCACCTTGTTAGGTACATTGACTTTTAAATTTTTTTTTTTTTTTAACATTTATTTATTTTTGAGACAGAGAGAGACAGAGCATGAACGGGGGAGGGGCAGAGAGAGAGGGAGACACAGAATCGGAAGCAGGCTCCAGGCTCTGAGCCATCAGCCCAGAGCCTGACGCGGGGCTCGAACTCACGGGCGGGCTGTGAGATCGTGACCTGAGCCGAAGTCGGACGCTTAGCCAACTGAGCCACCCAGGCGCCCCGGTACATTGACTTTTAAAGAGGTAGAGAACATGGTCCTTAACAGTCACTTACTGCACATCTGGAGAAGAGAAGAGGGAAAGGAATTTAACCATTAAATAAATAATCAAGCCTTCCTACTACCACACATACACACACTTTGCAAGATTATTGTAAAGATTAAGTGAGATGATGGATAGAAAAAGTGATTTGAGAAGCTTTTCTAAAACTGCAGTATTCTTAAAAAATAAAAAAGGGTAGGGGGGTTGCTGGGTGGCTCAGTAGGTTAAGCATCTGACCCTTGGTTTCAGCTGGTCATGATCTCACAGTTGGTGAAATCAAGCCTGGGGTTGGGCTCTGTTCTGACAGCATGAAGCCTGCTTGGGGGTCTCTCTCTCTCTCTCTCTCTCTCTCTCTCTCTCTCTCTGCCCCTCCCCTGCTTATGCATGCTCTCTGTCTCTCAAACATTGAAAAAAAACAGAACTGCAGTATTCTTCACTCGTAAATTAAGGTCAATAATACTTGCCTTTTAGGGTTGTGAGAACTTAATGAGGTATTATATGTAGAGTGTCTAGAACTTAGTAAGGACTAAATATTAGCATCTTTTTCCCCTGGCTCAATCTTAAGTAATAAAGCAAGAGAATTTACAGAAGTCAAAAACAGAAAAATCTATGTTCATCTTGGTATTATTTATATAAGAATTAGAAATAATCCAAATATCCAAGAGTAGAAGGTTGGTTAAGTAGCTTTTGGTACACCTATCTGAGGAAAATTATGTAGTCATTAAAAATTTATGTTCATTAAAAATTTTAATGACATAGCAAAATGTTTACATTTAATGTCGTAAAGACATGCTGTAAATTATATGTAGTATGATGTCAATTCCAATGTTCATGGGAAAATGTCAACATTTAAATGTTTATCTCTGCATTCTATTAAGATAATGAAGTTTTAATTTCATTATACTTTATTTTCAAAATTTCCCAGAACTAGTATATATTATTTAAAAACAAAGTTAGGGTTTTAACCACCCTTGAAATTTATAAGCCAAAAATATTGTCACAGAACTCTTAAAGAAAGAATAAATAGAAGCCCATAATGGTCATTTATAAAGATTAAAACTAAGGATGTTAAAAGGAACAGCATCAAAACGGAACCAATTATGTGCCAAGCATTGTGTCAGTTGTTACATTTTGGGATCCCCTGCCCCATTCTCCCAGCTAACTACAAGGTGAGGTGGATGTTTTAAGATGGCTTTTTGGAAGAGGTGACACCTTGAGATGAGTTTTTATTTCTCCCACTTCTTTCACTGGAAAATACTTACAGATTTTTCTCATCTGCATTTTAGCTGCAATACAGCAATGGAGGTCAGAAGGTAGGATAGCGGTATGGCTGCACATTCCCATCCTCCAAAGCCAATATATTGCCCCTGCTGCTTCCCTGGGTTTCTGCTTTCACCATGCAGAGTCGGATTCATCCACACTGACACTGTGGCTGGGAGAAGGACCCAGCAGATTACCAGGATATGCGACACATCAAGTAGGAGTTGCAGGTCAGTTTCAAACTAACATTTTAGAGGTTCACTCCATTTTTTTCTTACAGCTAAGCGATAGTTTATTCATGTCTAATGAATAATTTGATGAAGTGATTATCCTCCTTGGGACTATTGAGTAGTGCTTTAAATAAATGAACTTGGCCTTCTGAATTGGCAGAGGGCAGCACAAGAGAACAAGTTTGGTGTTTAGTTTTCCAGAGGATACATTTGAACAGTCTTACACAGGTATTTGAACTTCACTACTGAAATAGTAACACTGAATTGGGATCAGGGAATAAATTCATTACAGTAAAGCATATTAGGGTAAAATGAAAGGTAACTTTTAGGTTAAATTGAAGGTAAAGCAAAGATGTTTGATGATTTGAACATTACTTCTTAAAGATATTTACATTAAGTTACAGTGCCAAACAGTTGTTTAAAGTAGCATAATTTAAGTATATTATGGAATTTTCAAGTCACTGATTGACTTCAGAGACATAGTTTTGAGAGAAGATTTGCTTTCGATTAATCGTAGGTGCATCAGAATCAACTGGAGAGCTTGCTGAAAACACACTGCTGGGCCCCACACCAAGAGTTTTTTATATCGTTGTGGGGTGTTGCCAGAGAATTTGCATTTCTAAGAAATTATCTGCAGCTGCTATTGATATCAGTGCTGGTCCCTAAACCATCCTTTGGGAACCAGGGTTAAAAAAATTTCTAGATTTCTAGGGGCACCTGTGTAGCTCAGTCGATTGGGTGTTCAACTTTGGCTCAGGTCATGATCTCACAGCTCATGCGTTCAAGCCCCACGTCATGCTCTGTACTGACAGCTCAGAGCCTGGAGCCCGCTTCCGATTCTGTGTCTCCCTCTTTCTCTGCCCCTCACCTGTTGATTCTCTCTCTCTTACTCTCTCTCTCTCTCTCTCTCAAAAATAAACATTAGGGGCGCCTGGGTGGCGCAGTCGGTTAAGCGTCCGACTTCAGCCAGGTCACGATCTCGCGGTCTGTGAGTTCGAGCCCCGCGTCGGGCTCTGGGCTGATGGCTCAGAGCCTGGAGCCTGTTTCCAGTTCTGTGTCTCCCTCTCTCTCTGCCCCTTCCCCGTTCATGCTCTGTCTCTCTCTGTCCCAAAAATAAATAAATGTTGAAAAAAAAAAAATTTTTTTTTAAAAATAAATAAATAAAATAAACATTAATTTTTTTTTTAATTCCTAGAATTCTGGAAAACTGAAATAGTAAAAGACACCTCATGACTTAAATGAAAACAGTATTATATGTAAATTAGTAATTTGACCAATAATTGTATTTATTTTACCCTTCATATAATTTATAAGAGTTTTTTGAGGTAGTTTGCACCTTTGAAATTAAAAAGAAGTTGTTCAAGGATGTCTAATGTTTTCTCTGTCCATGATCTCGCTTCCCTGTAGCAAGTAGAGGCATTTAGAAATTTCCATTCAACTCTACTTCAAAAGACTACTTGATAATTTGATAGCACCTTCGCACTACATTAGAAAGTCATACTGACAATTATCAATTCGTTGGTAACAGATTTTTAAATTAGACTTTTAAATCCAGTTATTACTGCAGAATTGGTAATATATTTATACAGAGTATCCTATGAAGCCCTTGTTTATAACTAAATACTATAGTTAAGATATACTATAGGAGTTCTGGAAGTGAGAGATCAAGAACTTGAGCAATTTTGAAGTGTAACTATGATCTACATGAAGTGGCTATTGGGGGTGGCGATGAAATCATGTAAGAAATTGTTCTGGAAAGCTACAATGTTTTTTAGGTGAAGGGAAAAGAGCTGACATTTATTGATATAAGCAACACAAAGAAGGTGTGGCTGGTGAACATAACACCCCAAAATATGCCACTTTGATTATTTTGAGCTTGAGAAACACTAGATATAGCAAGGGTCTTCTGCCTGCCCCTTTTTACATAAAAGTAGGGCATAAATTTCTTGTACCAGGAAATTTCTTGTATCAAGGAAGATGGGGAGTTGACACCAAGATGAGTCTATACAAATAAACCTTACTAGGGGCGCCTGGGTGGCGCAGTCGGTTAAGCGTCCGACTTCAGCCAGGTCACGATCTCGCGGTCCGTGAGTTCGAGCCCCGCATCGGGCTCTGGGCTGATGGCTCAGAGCCTGGAGCCTGTTTCCGATTCTGTGTCTCCCTCTCTCTCTGCCCCTCCCCCGTTCATGCTCTGTCTCTCTCTGTCCCAAAAATAAATAAACGTTGAAAAAAAAAAAAAAAACCTTACTAAAATAACCTTTGTATTCCCATTAGTTTCCCCCGTGTATGTCCTCGTCGTTTTCCCACAATTAACCTCCCTTAGCCCAAACCCTTTTTTCTGTGGTCTTGTCATGTCCCCATAATTTATTGCTGTTTGTTAAAATGGTATATATGCCTGTGGGTCTGACCACTTTTTTGGGATTTTCACTTCTTTTTATCAAGTCCTCCATCATCACCCCAGGCCAAGTAAACCTCACATAAAATGTTTATATTTTTTTTCTCCATTAATCTATCTCCTGTGAGTTCAATTCTCAGCCCTAGACACAAAACCTAAGTGGGTAGGGGGAAAATCTTTCCTTCCCTACACTGGAATGGAGTGACCTGTGGCTTTGTTACTGTTCTTAAATCACAGCAAGCTGTCTCAGCCTCAGAGCTTTCACACTTACTGGCTCCTCTTCCTGCAGTGCTTTTCCCCAGGGTTTTGTTTATCTAGCTCTTTGGAGCTGAAGTTTCTGCTCCAACAACTTCTCAAAAAACTTCTGACCTTCCTGTCTAAAATAGAGTCCTCCTGCATGCCATCATCCTTGGTCCCTTTATCCAGGTCTGTTTTTCTCTATAGCACTTACCACAATTTGAAATTCTGTCATGTACTTCATTTCCCCCACAATAATATAAACTCCATGAAGGCAGATATTTTGTCTTTTCCACTACTGTATTGTCAGGTTCAAAACAGTGTCTGGCATAAAGTACATGATCAATAAATATTTCTTGAATGAATAATTGGATAGCTCTTCAAGTGGAAACATGAGACCCCAGAGAACACAATTGTATGGGGAAGGGACGTCGTTGCACAGTGAGAAGAATACCAACTCAGAATCCAGACAGTTTTAGCGCCATGTGAACTTGGGCACTCAAAATAATACCACTCACACAATTATTATGAGTAATACCTGAGATAATGTACATAAAGCACTAATCATAATATGATAATCTCTATTTAATCCCTGATCTTTGTGTTGATTTAACTTTTAAGTTGTGACCAGCAGGGGTCGCTCACATTGTGCTTTAGCAGTGTTAGGTTTGTCTGAAATACTTTGCTCATGTTTAAAATTCATTAGGGAAAAGTACACTTTGAGTAATCACAAATTATTAAAATTTAAGAGTAGGTTTCCTTGCCATTTCTTTGGTATTCTAACCCTTGTAAAATCCAATTCAATTAAATTATAATTTATATTTTCTAATAGAAACCAACATTAACGTTAATTATATCTCACTGGTTTTCCTTCTTTTAAACATTAAATGTGGTGTTTTCATTTCAGAGAAATTTGTCATTCCTTATACATAGCTATCCTCTTCTATATTTTATTGCAACATAAAATGTTTGCAATCGCCTCATGTTGTATATAATTTGTTTTTTATTTACTTATTACCTCCTCATACACACACCAGAATGTGAGCCCATCAAGGATCAGGAATTTTGTTTTGTTTACCACTGTATCTCTAGCACCTAGAAAAATGCCTGACACATAACAGGGCTCAATATATAGAGAACCCATATGTATTAGGTATAGGAACTCAATTGATATTGAAAGAATGGAAGAGTATATGGAAAGTATCTTTTATAATATTTCCTCACATTACGTAAATACAGATATTTATGTAAACGTTTATTCATTTTTGAGAGACAGAGACTGAGAGCAAGTGGGGAAGGGGCAGAGTAAGAGGGAGACACAGAATCCAAACTAGGCTCCAGGCTCTGAGCTGTCAGCGCAGAGCCCAACACAGAGCTCAAACCCACAAACAGTGAGATCATGACCTGAGCCAAAGTCAGATACTTAACCGACTAAACCACCCAGGTGCCCCCAAATATATTTAAATTATAACATTTAAAAGAAACTAATATAAACCATTATGGTGTCATTTGTATTTTTGACCCAGGATTGCCCAAAGAGAAATAAAAAACAAACCTTATTTTTGAGTCCCTAATGCCCAGTGTGCGTGGCAATGTGTATGATGAATGAATAAGTAAAAGAAAAGGACTAGAACTTAAAATATATATAAAATAAAGAAATATCCCAAAGCAATATATTGAGATGTTATAAAGTCATATACACATGTCATAAAGAAATATAAGTGGCTAGGGCGCCTAGGTGGCTCAGTCAGTTAAGCATCCGACTTTGGCTCAGGTCACAATCTCGTGGTTCACGAGTTTGACCCCCAAGTCGGGCTCTGTGCTGAACAGCTCAGAGCCTGGAGCCTGCCTTGGATTCTTTGTCTCTCCTTCTTTCTGCCTCTCCCCTGCTTGCATTTCACCTCTCTCTCTCTCTCTCTCTCTCTCTCTCTCTCTCTCTCTCTCTCAAAAATAAATAAACATTAAAAAAATCAAAAAAAGAAATATAAGTGACTTCAGGTAGGTCTTGCACTGAATATTAAGATATTTGAGATTTAGATCATCAGGGGCACAATACACGTTCTATACATAGCAATTCAAAGAATAAAAATGAGAATGGAAAAGTCACTACATTCAATAAATATTTTTTAAGCACTTAAGATTAGACACTAAAATAAGTGCTACAGAAGAATAAAATAATTCTGTAACTGTGTACCGTCAGGAATAGATACTGAAAAGAGAAGAAGCTTATGCAGATAATTATCCTACCACTCAGCATATGCTAGATCCATCATTGGTATTCCAAGTTGTTAAAAGAACCCGAATAACTGAGCAATCAGTTTATTGCTAGAGAGATTTTACAAGTGTTCATTGATGAGGTGGTATTGAACTAGGCCTTCCAGGATGGGTATAATTTTGATGACCACAGGTAAGAGTATGGGAAGAGTCTAAGGTGAATGAAATTAATGTTTCTCAATTATCTTTCATTGTTCCCCCAACAGGAGCTGTATTTGATGAAAATACTAGAAAAATATTAGTTGTACAAGATCGAAATAAAGTAAGTTGCTTCTGTTTTTCTTTTAAATATGATTATTTTTTAATTCCAGTATAATTAACATATAGTGTAATACTAGTTTCAAGTGTACAAAATAGTGAATCAGCAATTCTATACTTACTCAGTGCTCATCACCAAAAGTGTACTCTTAACCCCCTTCACCTATTTCACCCATCCCCCTACCTGTCTCCCTCTGGTAACCACCAGTTTGTTCTCTATGTTTAAAAGTCTGTTCTGTTTGCCTCTTTTTCTCTTTGATCATTTGCTTTAAGTTGCTTCTGCTCTGTAAATTGCTTTCTAAATGTTCAGCTGTCTCTAGAGAAAATGTAGAAATTTTGATATGGTCAAAGAATTACAGAAAGATATTTTAAAAGTTCTTTCTAGGAGAGCATGGATGGCTCAGTCAGTTGAATGTCTGACTTCAGCTCAGGTCATGATCTCACAGGTTGGGAATTCGAGCCCCACACTGGGCTCTGTGCTGACAGCTCAGAGCCTGGATCCTGCTTCGGATTCTGTGTCTCCTCCTCTCTCTCTGCCCTTCCCCACACTGGGTCCTGTGCTGACAGCTCAGAGCCTAGATCCTGCTTCAGATTCTGTGTCTCCTCTCTCTCTGCCCTTCCCCACTTGTGCTCTGTCTCTCTCAAAAATAAACAGACATTAAAAAAAATTTACTTTAAGTTCTTTCTAAGCAGTTATGGATCATTTGGATATTTATTTAATTCAAAAAATACTTAGGCAGGCCTTGAAAATGTCAGGATAACCTCAGTGTTGCTCACTGTCATATTATGGCTACAGAAAAATTAAAAATGACTATATTTAGTTGGGAAGACAACTGTGTTTCTCACAGACTGTCGAGATATTCGTCATTCATTCGGTATTCATTAAGCTTTCTCTATGAGCCAGATGCTGAGGATAGGAAGATTATTTAAGACGGTATCTCTGATGTCCTGCAGCTTGCTACCTATTTGGGAAGGCCATGGTCATACAAAGGATGGTAACAATTACTTTGCTTTTAAAACAAAACCCTGAAGACTTCTCAGAGGAGATGAATATCAAACTGGGTGTTGAAGAATGAGTAGGAGCTTACCAGGCCAAAAGGAAAGTTAGGATAGGAAAACAGAGTAGAAAATTAGAATGGCATGTAAAAAAGTACAGAGAGTTCAGAAAGGGGCTAACATGGTATCTTAGTTTGTTCAGGCTACTATAACAAAAATAACAGACTGGCTTAAACAACAAACATTTATTTCTCACATTTCTAGAGGCTGGACCAGGATTTAGTCCCTCTTCCCAGTTCATAGATGTTCATCTTTTCACTGTGTCCTCACATGGCAGAAGGGAGAAGGGTTCTTTCTGAAGTCTCTTATAAGAACACTACTGCCTTTCGTGGTTACTCCCATTCCACTGTTGTGACATAATCACCTCCCATAGGCCTCACCTCTTAATATCATCACATTGCGCCCATGTTTAAATCAACACGTAAATTTGGGGGGACATAAACATTTAGGCCATTCCACGTAGTGTGGAAGTAATGGTTTAAAAGTTCATCATGGAGGCACCTGGGTGGCTCAGTCAAACATTCAACTTCGCCTCAGGTCGTGATCTCATGGTTCAGGAGTTCGAGCCCGACATGATGCTCTGTGCTGACAGCTCGGAACCTGGAGCCTGCTTTGGATCCTGTGTCTCCTTCTCTCTGCCCCTCCCCAATCACACTCTATCTCTTTCTCTCTCAAAAATAAATAAACATTTAAAAACAAAACAAAAAAAAAGTTCATTGTGGCCAGGAGTACAGGTAGTGGTAAATTATTTGACCAAGTGCCAGATTAAGAACAGAATATAAAGAGCCTTGTACAACAAAATAAGTCTAAGCAACTAGAAGCAACAAAGACTTTTAAGAGAAGTACCATAATTAGCGTGAGATGTTTTCATGATTAGGACTATAAGGCAAAGAGAATAATTATCTTGCTACTTTCTGAAACTTCAGTAAATACTGATGGACAGACATTTTCCCCCATCATACATATTTTTATTAAATTTTTTTTTTCAACGTTTATTTATTTTTGGGACAGAGAGAGACAGAGCATGAACAGGGGAGGGTCAGAGAGAGAGGGAGACACAGAATCGGAAACAGGCTCCAGGCTCTGAGCCATCAGCCCCGAGCCCGACGCGGGGCTCGAACTCACGGACCGCGAGATCGTGACCTGGCTGAAGTCGGACGCTTAACCGACTGCGCCACCCAGGCGCCCCCATATTTTTAAATTTTAAACAAAATATTGGTAATGATAGCGGAAAGCAGTATCATACATTTTGCAGAAATGCGGTCTCAAAACATTCTCATAGTTGTAATTTCCAAAATTTTAGTTCAGGCAGGATCTCTGACTCAAACTAAGCTTTATCATTAGCAGAAATACTTTGAGGGAGGCTTGGGTGGCTCAGTCGGTTAAGCGCCCAACGTCAGGTCAGGTTATGATCTCGTAGTTTATGGGTGCAAGCTCCACGTCAGCCTCTGTGCTGAGATCTCAGAGCCTGGAGCCTGCTTTGGATTCTGTGTCTTTTCTCTCTCTCTCTCTCTCTGTCTCTCTCTCTCTCAAAAATAAACATTAAAAAAAAAACTTAAAAAAATAATTTTGAGTACCTAAAGTAGTATTGTGCCTACCCTTCAATAAGTTTTATATTTGAATTGGATCATGTGATGGGAATGACTAGAGACTAGGAAGCGTGATTGAGTACTACAAGTGGGGCCTAGTATAAGAGGGTCTGAAAGCCTGGCAGAGGAGTTTAGATTTGACATGGAAATAGTAACTCTTGAAAGATTCTGATTGAGATGATGAAGTAATGAAGTGCTATATGGACAACATTAAATTAATAACAAAATGCAAATAAATTGATAATTGTGCTAAATGAGAGAAAGTTGGTATAAACAAAATGGACTTCGGAGTCAGGCTGACCTGCATTCCAATCCCTGTGCCATTTCTACATCAGCCAAGTCTCTGAGCCTCAGTTTCCTCATCTTTAAAATCTATACAATAATACCTTTCTCATAGAAAGGATCCATTAGCTGTCTTTTCCCAGTGGATTCATACAGAGTACTTAAAATACACAAAAGTGTAATGTAAGAAATGTACAGCAGTGTAAAACAATGCTGTATACAATTACCTTAAGTACAATTTTAATGCACTGTTCTCTCATTTATATCAATTTATATTTATACCCATACACAACAGAATGATGTGCACTGTATTTGTTTTCTTTTTTAAAATTTGTATAACAAAAAGCCAAGAAAGTTCTTTATTTTCTTGGCAAAAATAATGTGATTAATAAGTAAAGATGTCTATTTACAGAAATCTCTAATTACTGGAAGAGATGCAGAGTCCTATTTAATTGCTTAACCTCAGCCTTAGGTCTATAATACCTTAACATTTCCAATGCTCACCTAAATTGTACAAGGACATTTCTGTTTTTCTGGACATTTTACTGTGGGTAACTTATAAAAGCCTTACTATGACTTATAAATTTTTTTGTGAGTATTTTAATCACCTGGTGCTCATCATGACAAGTGCACTCCTTAATCCCCATCACGTATTTCACCATCCCCCCACCTGCCTCTCCTTTGATAACCATCAATTTGTTCTCTATAGTTAAGAATGTTTCTTGGTTTGTCATTTTCTCTTTTTTCCCTTCGTTGATTTTTTTTGTTTCTTAAATTCCGCAGAAAAGTGAAATCATATGGTGTTTGTCTTTCTCTGTCTCACTTAACATTATAATCTGTAGCCCCATTTATGTTGTTGCAGATGGTAAGATTTCATTCTTTTTTATGGCTGAATAATATTCCATTGTATGTATATGTGTGTATATACATATATATACGTGCACACACATACACCACATCTTCCTTTTCCATTCACCATTCAAAGGAGACTTCAGCTACTTCCATTTCTTGGCTGTTGTAAACAATTCTGGGTACATCTGTCCCTTTGAATTAGTGGTTTTGTATTCCTTGGATACCTAGTAGTGTAACTGGGGGATTGTAGCGTAGTTCTATTAACTTTTTGAGGAATCTCCGTAAGTTTTCCACAATGGATACACCAGTTTGCAAGAAAATTCCTTTTTCTCCACATCCCTTCCAACACCTGTTGTTTCTTCTGTTTTTTAAATTTAGCCATTCTGACAGGTGTGAGGTGATATCTCATCATAGTTTTGATTTGCATGTCCCTGATGATGTGATGATGAACATCTTTCATGTGTCTATTAGCCATCTGCTATGTCTTCTTTTGAGAAATGTATATTCTGTCTTCTGCCCATTTTTAAATTGAATTATTTATTTTTTGGGTGTTGAGTTTTGTAAGCTTTTTATGTATTTTGGATACTAACCCTTTATTGGTAGGTCATTTGCAAATACTTTCTTCCATTCCCTAAGTTGCCTTTTAGTGTTATTGATTGTTTCCTTCACTGTGCAAAACATTTTATTTTTATATAGTCCCAGTAGTTCATTTTTGCTTTTGTTTCCCTTGCCTCAGAGGATCTACCTAGGAAAAAAACTGATATGGCCAGTGCCAGAGAAATTACTGCATATGTTCTTTTCTAGCATTTTTATGGTTTCACATTTAGATCTTTAATCCATTTTGAATTTATTTTTGTGTATGGTGTAAGAAAATGGTCCGGTTTCATTCTTTTGCATGTAGCTGTCCAGTTTTCCTAGTACCATTTTGTTGAGAAGACTGTCTTTTTCCCATTGGATATTCTTTCCTGCTTTGTTGAAGATTAATTGACCATATACTTATATGTTTATTTCTGGGTTTTCGATTCTCTTCCATTAATATATGTGTCTATTTTTGTGCCAGTACATACTGTTTTGATCACTACTGCTTTGTAATATAACTTGAAGTCTGGAATTGTGATGCCTCCAGCTTTGCTTTTCTTTTTCAAGATCATTTGGCTATTTGGGGTCTTTTGTGGTTCTGTACAAATTTTAGGATTGTTTGTTCTAGTTCTGTGAAAAATGCTGT